TTGGCCTGGGGAGCACAGAATCATAAAATATCCTGAGCTGGAAAGATCAAGTCCAACTCCTGGCCCTGCACAGGATAGCCCAAAAATCACATCATGTGCCTGAAGAGTATTGTCCAAGCACTTCTTAAGCTCTGGGAGGCTTGGGGCTGTGACCAATGCCCTGCCCATTCCAGTGCCAGGTGGGGGTGGCAAGGCAGAGGACACTCACCTGTAGCCTACAGTAGCAGAGCACAGCAATGATGCACAGTAGGATCACCGTCGCTAGGATTCCCCCGGTGATAACAACAGTTCCCGCTGTCATCCGACCGATTCTCCATCAAACTCTGGAAGGCAGGGACACAAAACTCACCTTCCCTGGTTTTGTCATCACATCATGGACGTGATGCCCACAAGTCATCCCAAAATATTGCATCCTCATTCCTCTCTCCCCAGCTGGAAAAGTATCATCCAATATTATCCTCCTCCTTCTCTTAGTGAGAGGACACCTGAGATGCAGCATCACATCCCCTCACTGCTATTGCTGCTCTGGCTTGGGCTCTTTGTCAAACACCCCACAGCCCACTGGAAAAACCTCACCATTACTGAGCCAAAAGGGATGATTTCCACCCTCCTGGCAGAAAATCCAGCTTCTGCTTCAAAATGTAGGAACAAACCTGGGCATTTCACCAGGCAAAGCCAAAAAGGAGCCTCTGAACTCCACAACAGTCTGAGCCCAAAAATTGCACCCTGGCTGCCTGTCAGGCACTTACAAGGCTAAGCAGCCCTCACCCCCATCTCTGTGCCACGGCACCTGGGGATACTCACGTTCAGTGACGGAGGCGTTGGACCTGGAAGAAGTGGAGGGAGAGGTTAGAGTGGTCTGACAGCACCCCTTGCACCTGCCTGCCTTTCCCCATTTCCCAAGAATGTGCCTTGATTTGGCATCTGTGGGAAGCCCTGCTTCACCCCCCTGTGATTTTCTTTAATTTGAAGCAGGGAAAGGATGCATTTCCCAAGCTTGGAGCAATGCTCTACAGGAACAGGGCACAGGCCTGGCTTAGTCAGCACTTGGCCTTTTCCACTTTAAAATTTATTACAAGGAAGGCGGATGCATCATCACAACGATGTTTTAGGTGCCGCTGGGAAACGAAATCTCTCCTCCATCCCCTCCAGGACAGGGGAGCTCCAGCATCCCCCCACCACCCCACGGATACTTACCCGGAAAAGGACAGGCAGGATGTCACGGTCACGCTGGCCCCGGGCTGGACGGTGGGGACAGGCAGCACCACATGGCCACGGGGACACTCAGCAGCCCTGGCAGGGAGAACAAGGAGAAAAACTCCACCATCAGCTCATCCCCCTTCCCAAAGGGGCTGCCCAGTGTCCCCATCCCCACCAGTGTCACTGCAGCGGGGCTAAATAAATTGCTTTTTTTTGAGGAGACTGCCGGAAAAGGTGGGTGCTGCAAAGCTGCGTAAAGCAAACTGCCAGGAAAGGATGATCCCATGCCCCAAATCTGCTGTTTCACCAAAACTGAGGACTTGTAGCAAGAAGTGGGTGCAGCCATCGCCTCATCACCCCCCATCGCCCTCCCAGCGATGCCCAGCGCAGCCGCATTTCATTATTGGCCCTGCATCCCTCTGTGCCTCGTCCAGAGCAGGGATAATTGATAGGGCCCAAGTGCCAGCCCATTGCAGCTGAGGAGATCTAATTACCCACTCACCACGCAGCCCTAATTAACGGAGAGAGGTGGCAGCTTCCAGGCGAGACCTTCCCAACTCTGCCCTGGCCCCTCTCTGCTGCATGTCCCAGCGGGCACAGTGTGGAACCTTCCTCCCCAAAAATCACCCACCCTCCTCGCTCTGCTGTGGTGGTTTGCACATCCTGCCTGCCACAAATTGATTTTCAGCTCATGGGAAGTTCCTGTAGGAAGCCAAAAGGCGGGCACGCATTGGATTTCCTCCTTGAGCCGCTCTCACACACAAAATAAAGGAAAAAAAAAAACCCCAAAGAAATCAATATGTCCATAACCCAGCTAATATCTCCATCCATCAGGAGACCCAGAACAGAGCTAATAATAGAGACCAACACACTCAGCTCCTGCTCCCTGTTACCAAACCGCACCCTGAACCGCTGCCAGGAGTGTGAGGGGACACGCAGGCAGCCTTTGGTGCAGTTGTCACCTCCCCAGGTGCCTTCCTTAGCAGGGAAAAGGTGACAGTGGGTGGCTGCAAATGGCAAACGCTGACCTTTGGTGACCCCAAGAGGGACACGCCGCAAGCTGGGCGGTGATGGATGATGCAGGCAGCTGTTCACGTCTAGAAAACTTCATTTCATGGGAGCTGTGATTTGATTTAGAGCTCAGAGAGCAGCATCCAATTAGCCTGAGGATTGGAGTGAGCAGGCAGCCCTGGAGAATGACCCCAGGCAAGGAGGGACCAGACTTGGGGATCCTTCGGTCACCTCTGAGGTCTGAGTGTCTCAGAGGATGGCTGGGCTTCCACATGCCCCATCTCTGGTATTCCCATTCCTGGGAATGCTGGGATCAGCATTTCACTAGCCCTGCTCAGGAACTGGGCCCTTCCTTATTAAAATAGTGAATGTTAAACAAAGGCAAAAATGAAAATGAAGCACAAGAGAAGCGCTGTCTTTCCTGTTCTCTTTGAGGGGGTGTTTTTCAAAAGGAGGAAGTTCCTGCCCTTCTCTCCTTCCCCAAACCCAGCCCACCAGCAGCCCAGAAGTTAATTTTTTCTACTGAGTTTGTGCCTATAAAATAGCTTTCTCTAGCCCACAGCTCTCTCCTACATGGATGAAGAAGGGAATGTAACACCTCTCAGGGAAGGAGCAAGAGCCACAGTCTCAGGAGTAACTGAGGTTTTGGGAATTACAAACTAAATTATGTCCAGAAAGGGGCAGGACAACTACAGCAGCCTTTTCACATCTCTGCCACCAGCCCATACCTGTTTCCATCCACCCTTCCCAAATACATCCCAACCTGCTGGGAAAGGAGCAGTTTGGGCTCCACTGGCTCAGCTCCACACAGCCCCACTGCTCCATCCCAACAAAAGGCCATACATTTGTATGGATCCTGTAAAAGCCTGGGCTGCACTGTGAGCTGAGCTGTCCTGGAGCAGGACAGGACACAGAGGCATCCCAGGGGGATGCACAAATCCAGTTCCCTGAGGCACAGTCCCATTTCTCCTTCTGGCTTAAAAAGGGAGTTGAGAGTTGTTTAAATGTTTAAATATCCCAGGTGGAGCAGATGCCTTGGCACTCGCTGCTCACCCGCTCCCGGCTGGCTCAGGAGAGGCAACAACCCAAGGGTGCTGTGGGGACCCTCTGGCACACAAATCACCTGTACAAAATCAGGATTTATACATCTTCTTTAACTGATGTTGCCTCACAGCGCAAAGTTACAGCCTGAAAAGTGACTCTGGGAACGAGTGGCATCTCAGGCTTCTATATTTATTCTCCTTCAGTGACATCCATAGCAGATTTGCATGGTTTGCAAGTCGATGGCGAGGTTTTTGCCAGCCAGCAGCACTCCCCACCCAGCTGAGACACTCCTGTCCTTACTCACCCTGGGTGTCCCTGCAGCCTCGAGCTCATCCCTGCTACCCCACGGGGGTCAAACACTCACAGCAGAGCTCAGGAGCAGGTTTAGGCTGGGGCAGGGCATGGTTACACACCACGAGCATCATGCTGAACCTTGCCATGAGTCCTGCCCCGACCCAGGCTCTGCTCTCCTGGTTTTGCTCTGCAGCTCACGGGATAATTCAATGAAATGTCTGCCTGGTAAATTATCCCGGCCGCTGCCTCACCAGAGTCATCTCCCAGGGCCTAATTGGAAAAAACCAGCATCAGGAGCTGCCTTTTCAAAACAGATTATGGCAGCAAACAACAGGGCAGCTCCCAGGCAGCTGCAACCTGCCCCGCAAGATTCAGGGGGATCAGCCCTCTGCTGCAAACCCCCAGGATGGGTGCTCAGGCAAGGCTGGGGTCCCCCAAACTCCCTGCATGTCAGGTGCTGTGTGCTGCAAAGTATGAGGGGACAAACTGAGCCACAGGGGAGCAGGGCCAAGGAGACCCCACCACACAAACGAGCCAAGCTAAATGAAATTTTACCTGGAGCAATGGCAATGTGGGATGCAGCTGGCAGCCCCCCAGTAGCCTCCCTCTGCTCCCAGTGCTCACCCCTAGGCTTCCTTCCCAAGTGACAAACCCCTGGGTCACTGTGAAGCTGAATCAGCTGAACCTGCTGCTGGTTCTGCCGGAGTTATACTGGAGTCTGCACCAGTCTGCAGACGGAAATCACAGCGGCAGTTGGGAAAACTTTTATTTTTGCCTGCTGCAGAGAACTCCAAATAAGGTTTTACCCAGCAGAAAGGGTGTTTCGTGTGACCCATTTCCTCCCCGAGGCTTTTTTCCTGCTGTGATGTGGTGCCTTGAGCCACCTGGGGTTTTCCCAGCAGTTTTGCTGCATCCAACACCCTGCTCCCAGCTACCACAAGGGCAGCCAGGTCACAGAGGTGACACTGTCCCCCAGCTGAGTGGGACTGGCAGTGAGTCACAGCCAGTCATCAAAACCAAAAAGTCTGTGCCCTGCTGCAAGACTGCTCTTGCTTTCCCTCCACCACCTGGGCCAGCTCCCCAAGGCTCCCCATTGCCTCTTCCCAGCCCAAGGATGAGAAAGACAAAATACCAACAAGGATGCAAAACCAGCTCTTTTCTTGTAAAAGCTTTGTGGAAAAGGCACAATATTAATCACAAGTAAAAAAAAAAATCAAACACCTTCGGTGGTGGAAGCTGCCAGCCAGACCCCAGCTTGCAGGTGGGCATGAAAGGCTGCACTTCTGCTTTAACACTGTGCTCCTGAAGCTCTGAGCCCAGGAGATCCCTTGTCCTGGCCACCAAACTCCTCCAAAAACCACCTTCTTGCCCATCCAGGTTCACTGCCTCCCTCACCATGCCTCATCCTGCCCTGTGGGGGCCCAGGGGAACTTCCCTGCCAACAATTTGTCCTTACAGCCACAAAGGACCAAGCATCCCCCTCTGATCTCTGTCCAGGTGTGTGATCCCTGGAACATCCTGGGACCAGCTGGCACATCTGCACTCCTCTCCCTGGGAGACCTCCCAGTGCTTCTCAGACTTCTGGAGGAAGGGCAGCTTTGCAGGCTGGGATGTCTCAGGCACGGATTATCTGGTATCTTGTTACTTGGGCATCTCATCTGCCCTATATCTCCTTAAGCGACTATTCCGATCCCATCTCGCCTGCCTGCGTGGATTAACTGCAGCCGTGGATACGACGGAGGGACACAGAAG